GTGACTGGGCTTATTTCATACATCTGGCTGAGCCAAGAACATGAGGTGCCGTTTACACTGAGCAAAAATGCGCTAGCCGGTTTGCCTAATTTTACAATCCCCGATTTTTCGGTGGTTACACCCGAGAAAACCTACACATTTTTGGATATGTTAGCTGAATTGAATGTTGGTATTGTTGTAATACCCATCGTTGGAATACTCACCAATATCTCGATTGGTAAACTGAGTAAGTACCGGAAGGAATTAAATAAATTACATTTAGGTGTATGGTTGGGGTTACGAATTGAATAGCTAACTTATTTGAGGGTTAGGGCAATCATTTTTAGTAATTAACTACCACTACTGATTGTGATTCCAAGTCATTGTGGTAAGGTTTCCTTTCACGTGGACTTGAGAAGCAAGTATTGATATACATACTTAGTTCAAGGCGATGAAACTTAGACAATCTCCCCTATCCCTGTATAAGACTCTTAACATGGGACCAAATATGTTACGCTAGTCGTAGATGTTTTTTTTTTTGTGTTTTTTTTCTATGAAATTGAAGTGGGTCCCCGTGCCAAGGCAATGCAATTGATCGTTAGCAATAAGTTTCCGAATAAAAACGGTTCAATGCCTCTGGCATCAGGAAATAAAGGAAAACCTTCAAACCGCGATGAAGAAGCCTAACAAATCTCTAAGCAAATCTCTGCGGCCTCGTCCAAGTACCCTTTCTGCCAACACGTAGAACGTACCGAACCAGTATTCAATATAAGCTAAACTACATAGAAGCGTTTGTATATTACATTCCTTCTAAAATGTGCCTTCCTCTTTTTCGGTCATTCACAGCTCCTAAGGGCATGGTTGACGCTAACAAGGAATTGATCACCGTCGGTCTCTGCAATCTTGCCGGTTCCTGCGTACAATCTATGCCCGTATCAGGCGCCTTCTCGCGTTATGCCATCAGCAACGCTTGTGGACTCAGAACTCCAATGGCCAACTTGTACCTGGGTGAGTTTGACCAACACAATTCAGTAATTCTTCGTACTAATATTTATATTCCGATATCGCGCAGGTGTAATTGTGCTACTGGCTTTGGGCTTTCTCAGTCCCTACTTCAACTACATACCCGAATCAACGCTTGCCGCCATTTTGATGTGCTCCATCGTAACCTTGCTGGACCTGCAGCTACCACGGCGTTTGTGGCGCGATGCTAAGCGTGATTTCTGCGTGTGGGTGCTGTGCTTTACTGTCTGCATCCTATGCGGCGTGGAAGTGGGCCTGCTAGTCAGTATTATAGTGACAGTATTACATTTACTATTCCTATGGGCGCATCCTGTGATCTCAGTGCATGTAGAAGAGGTAAGAGGAGATAGCAGAGCATTTTGTTTTTTCAATTTCTAATTGCTACACACTTTGCAGGTAAATGAGCTACAATTCATACGCGTCACGCCCACTGGCGTCATCTATTTCCCCGCCATCAATCATTTGCGCGCCAAAGTGCTGAAAGCGTGCGAACGCGTCAACTTCAGTCTACCTGTGGTTATGGATTGTCATAAGATCACCGGCATCGATTTTACTGCGGCGCAAGGGATCTCAAAACTTCCAGACGATTTGACTCAATCGGAAGTGGGCAGTGGACCGCTCCTCATCATATACCGGCTAGAAGCGGAAAAACAGAAACTAATACAAGCCACTGACAAGCTGATCTTCTGTAATGACGATGTGAAGCTGGAAGAATGCATAACGCAAGAATCATTGAAGAATGGGAATTTCGTAATGAAAGAACCTATGAAATCTACAAATAGTCTGCTAGGCGAGACCCATTTAGATTTGCATTATTAGAGTATAGTGTAGGTAGGGAAAAAGAAGAAGAAGAAGAAGAAGCGGATGGGGAAGGGGAAGAGAAGGAACATTGCAAGTGAGTCTTTGTGATATGTACGAAAATATAAATAGTAAGTAACTGTTAATTGGGACAAATGAACACTTGCAGACTTAGAAAAGTGCATACATACACACATTAGTAGGTATGTATTTTAGTATGTTTGTAGGTACTCGTATGAATGGACGCGTACTAGATAATAGCTAGTAAAAAGTAAGCTAGTTGTTATATAATATGTACATACATATGTATGTCATGTGCCATTATTGTTGTTGTTATTGTTGTCGACGCCGTAGCCAGAGAGTATTGGAATGTTTGTGCGCCCCCAATGTGCAAATGTTCACTTAGTTTGTAATTTCAGATTTAACAATAGCGCATTCTTAATGTAAATATATGTACATTTAAAATAACTTATATGTACATACATACATATATATAAAGTATTACAGTATATACGAGTATATGAAAAAATATAAAAATAATTAATTAATACAAATAAAAATATTGTAAGCAAACATATGTACATCTTTTATTTACTCATATTTACATAATTTAGTAAAGAAACCATTCAACTTATTCGTTGAATGAGTTGCAGTATCGTCTAATTAGACGATTAGTGCTGATGCTAATTAAGTAACTACTTGATTTACTAAGTAAATATTATCAGTTGTTAATATTTCATTAAAATTATGCGCTAATAACTTTTGTAAATAGGAATGTGGGTAAAAATTGCAAATTAGTGCGCTCGTTAATTCAATCGGAATGCAATTTGAATTGTTTGTATTACTTACATACACCTGCAGTTGTTTAATGGAAAACTACTCTAGCCAATTATGCATGTGGCATGATTCAATAATGAAAGGTTTTTGCAAGTAGCTTTTTTCTAAAATTTGACACTGCCACCTACAGGGGTGATTTTTGGAAGCAGGAGAAAAAGGGGAACAATGGAATCACACTTCCTGAAATGGTAGCTAAATTCCTCAAAATGGTGGGGATAATAGTGATTTAATTTAAACAAGCTTATTTACATCGAATATAACCCCTGATTTTTATTAAATAAATATTTCTATGTATACCGAAGTTGTGTACGTTAGACGGCGCATAACTCGAGAATGGATGGTCCACTTTGAGCTATTTTTTTTTGGTGTGTTTTATTGCCTTGTAAATTCTTTGCGGTACCATTTACAGTTGATGGATATGAAGAAGCTGTTTGTTTGTGGAAAAAATATGGAGTTTTGACAAAAAAAACATTTGGAGCTTACTTTTCTTTCGCCATTTTAGCTCGATTGCTTCGAATATGGAACTTCCTACTCTTTGATGTTGCACCTTTAGTGTTCTGGGGAGATTATGCCGCCATCAGAATATCAAACATTGGCTTACACAGTCGCGAATGGCGATTCGTGCTGATCGAACTCAGGAAGAATAAAAAGGACATGCAGCTACTGAACGACTGAAACTGAATTTGTTTAAGGTTTTGAATGCTTACTATTTATTTTTTGAAACGTACAAAAACTTACTCTAGCGAGTATTGTAGCTTATTTGTATTTCCGTAGTGTCAGCTATTGTTGCTAATAATTTTCCCAGCTAGCACATTTGCCAGACAATTTCTGATATCAGAAAAGTCGGAATAAAAAGTTGACTATTTAGACAAGTCTTACAGGTTTCGTACAGATTTCTGGGCAAAATGTCTGGAGAATTTCATTTATTTCCTTATCCGATATGCCTGATCGAATTATGTCCGATTTCGGACATACACGTCTGATAATTCTTATTTGCACGTGTGTCAAGTTAGCACTTCACTTTTCGAAATCGGAAAAGTTAACTACGGCATTAATTGTAGTGTTTTTGTTGTAAATTT